CTTTCCTTTCCTTTCCTCAAGTGGAGAGAATCTCTTTCCATGCTGTGCTGCCTGGGCTTGGGGGAGGGGTAACACAACTAATGAAAAACTGTTCTATGTACCCTTTTATTGTTAACATAAGCACTTATTTCTATGTCCATGTCCAGTTTTACACACACACACACACACACACACACACACACACATATGAATTTAAGTTCTTTGTAATGGAGGAAATATTAGTGAATTCTTTCAGCCCATTTTTCTTAAAAGTTCTTATTATGTCACACTTTGAAGTATAATTTTAATGTGTATAGGATCCTGGGTTAGCCTTTTTTTTTTTAACCCGTCTCCTGCCAATGCTTTATAGACATCACTTTGAAGTCTTGTAGCTTGCATGGTTTCTAAGGAGTAATCTGTAATCTTACTGTTGGTTTTCTGTACATAATTTGTGTTTTCTCTAGCTGCTTTCAACATTTTCTCTTTTTTTGGCAGTTTGACTATGAAGTGTTCTGCATTGTGTATGTGTGTGTGTCTACTTGATATTTGTTCTACAGGGAATTCTCTGAGTTCTTATATCTAATTTGGTGTTGTTTTCATTAGTTTTGGAAAATCCTTGGCTATTATTCCTTCAGATATTTCTTCTATTGTTTTTTTTTCCTCTGGGACTCCAATTTCATATATAGGTTAATTCTTGGATCTTCTGTTCTTATTGTTTACTAACCCTTTTTCATCTGTCTTATTTTTTAAATTTTGCACAGTTTTAAAAATTTCTTTCTAAAATTTATTCTAATTTGTTATATATGACAGCAGAATTGCCCCCCCCCGCCCCAATTCCCATTATGAATCAACATCCTTATATCAGAGAAAACATTTGGCATTTGGTTTTGGGGGATTGGCTTACTTCACTAGCATTATATTCTCCAGCTTCATCCATTTACCTGCAAATGCCATGATTTTATTCTCTTTTGATGCTGAGTAATATTCCATTGTGTTTATATACCACATTTTCTTTATCCATTCATCTACTGAAGGGCTTCTAGGTTGGTTCCACAGTTTGGCTATTGTAAATTGTGCTGCTATAAACATTGATGTGGCTGTGTCCCTGTAGTATGCTGTTTTTAAGTCTTTTGTATGTAGATCAAGGAGTGAGATAGCTGATTCAAATGGTGGTTCCATTCCCAGTTTTCCAAGGAATCTCCATACTGCTTTACATATTGGCAGAACTAATTTTCAGTTCCACCAGCCAATGTATGAGTGTGCCCTTTCCCCCACATCCTCGCCAACACTTATTTGTGTTTGTATTCTTAATAGCTGCCATTCTGACAGGAGTGAGATGAAATCTTAGAGTTGTTTTGATTTGCATTTCTCTAATTGCAAGAGATGTTGAACATTTTTTCATATATTTGTTGATTAATTATATATCCTGTTCTGAGAAGTGTCTGTTCAGTTCCTTGGCCCATTTATTGATTGGGTTATTTGTTTTTGTTTTTGTTTTTTGGTGTTAATATTTTTGAGTTCTTTATATATCCTAGAGATTAGTGCTCTATCTGATGTGCATGGGGTAAAAATTTGCTCCCATTCTGTTGGCTCTCTATTTACCTCAACAATTGTTTCTTTTGCTGAGAAGAAGCTTTTTAGCAATCTATGTCTTTTGATTGATGAGTTTAGGCTGTTAACATTCAAGGTTATTCTTGAGATGTGATTTGTATTCCTTGTCATTTCGACTTATTTCTGGTTTTTGATTTGTCTCAGTTTCTCATTTGGTTGAACTTTTCTTTAGTGTATTTTCTCCCTTTGCTGTTTTTTTTTTTTTTTCCCCACTTCATCCTCATGGAATATTTTGTTGAGAATGTTTTGTAGTGTAGGCTTTTTAGTTGTGAATTCTTTTAATTTTTGTTTATCATGGAAGGTTTTAATTTCATCTTGATATATGAAACTTAATTTTACTGTATTTAAAATTTTTTGATTGGCATCTGTTTTCTTTCATTGCTTGAAATTTATTATTCCAGGACCTCCTAGCTTTGAGGGTCTGGGTTGAGAAATCAATTGAGATCTGAATTGTTTTCCCCCTATACATAATTTGATTTCTTTCCTCTCATAGCCTTTATGATTTTATATTTTTTCTTTGTGTTATTCATTCTCATTATAATGTGTCTTGGTGTGGGTCTGCTGTAATTTTGTACATTTGGGATCCTGTAAGCCTCTTGTATTTAATTTTCTATTTCATTCTTTAGGTTTGGGAACATTTCTGCAATTGTATCATTGAAAAGATTGTGCATTCCTTTGGTTTGTATTTCTATTTCATCTATTCCGATATTTCTTAAATTTGTTTTTTTCATGTTATCCCATAATTCTTGGATGTTCTGTGCATGGTTTCTCACCATCTTCTCTGCATGGTGAACTCTACTTTCAATAATATATATTTTGTCTTCATTGTCTGAGGTTCAGTTGTTTTGTCTGTTGGTGATGCTTTCTATTGAATTTATAATTTGGTTTACTGATTGCTTCATTTTGAGGATTTCTGGTTTTTTTCCCCCTCACGATCTCCAACTCCTTATTGAAGTGATTTTTCACTTTCTGTACTTTTTCTTTGATTACATTCCTTATATTGTCCTTGACTTCATAAATCCATTGAACTATGTACATTCTGAACTCCTTCTTGGACAATTCTTCTACTGTGTTATCAGTGGTTTCTGATGTTGAAACATCTTGGTTTGTTTGGGGTGCTTTATTCCCTTGTTTTTTCATGTTGTTCATGTATTTTCCCATCTAAAAGTATGGATCTAAGGCAGCACAAATTCTATCCTATAGTCCTATAATGTCCCTGAAGGTTTCTAGCACCTTGCCTTTAATGGTGTCAACAGCACCCAGTGTAAAAATATATAGTCTTAAACCTAATGGTTCCCACTAAGGCATCTACTGCTTTCTCACACTAAACCAAACTATCTATAATATAAAGAGAAAATTTGTTAAAACAGTTTACAATTTCAAATGGTGAATAAGATACCAGAGGTAGTATAGTATGTGATATTCATGAGGGAGAAAGAAAGAAGTTAGAAGCAAAAATTCACAAGAAGAGTGGAAGAGGTGTGGACAGAGATTGGCTGTTGGTTGCAGAAAATTTGGAAAGAAAATCCAAGAATACAGATGAGAGAGGAATGATATGAACAAAGAGAAATATAAGAATGCAACAAAAATGCAAAACATCATATGTGACTGCATGACCAATGTAATTCTGCAACCTGTACACTCAGAAAAATGAGAAATTATAGCCCATCTGATTCAAATGTATGATATGTCAAGATCATTGTACTGTCATGTGTAATTAAAACAAATTAAAAAAAAAAGAAAAAAAGAAATGCAAGATAAAAAAAATGCAAAACACCATTGATATATCAGTGTCCTCCACACACTGATGCATAAAAAGCACCCTGTTCCAAATATGGTGGAGTTATTAGTGAATTATGGAAAGCCAATCCGTCTCTATCAGTGTTCAACAGTTTCTCAGCCCTGTCTCTCTTGTCTCTTGGGATCACCAGATCCAGATCAGCCCTCACAGACTGTGTAATTATCTCACAGATCAGGGCTTCAGATACCTCAGGCTTGGTCACCTGTAGTCCCAAGATCTCAATGCTGCTCCTACTTGCAGAGACAATCAGGAATACACTCTTGCGAAAGAGCAACCTTGAGATGCAGGAGGAAGGGAAGGGCCACCAGCACTCCCAGTAGGAAGACCCCAGACACCTCCAAACTCACAGGCACCCCCACAATGGACCTACAGGTCTCCACTGGAGTCCTCAGACAGCGGCTCTTGTGGTGGTAAACCTCAGGACCTGGCTGGTGTCCCAGTGGGTGCAGCCATGTGGAACCAACCCTGGAGTCTCCCCTGCAGCAGTCCTCTAGGCTATGGTAGCAGTGGTAGTGGTGGTGGTTGTTGGTAGCAGGCCAAGGATCAGTAGCAGTGGCAGCTGCAGTGGTGGCTGCTGTAGGGGCAGCATCACCAGATGATCATGGGCGGGGGTGGGGGGAGTGGGGGGGTGGGACTGGGGGGTGTCAAAAGCTCTGTCGGTGTCGGGTGCATCAAGGGCAGTGGTGTCTCCTGTGGCAGCAGCAAGTGGTTATAGCTGCAAGGGCAGCAGCACCCAGAAAGAAGACTTCCAGGTGACCTTGGGATGGCAGCAGTGGCATCAGAGGCAGCAGTGATCCATTTTTTAAAAATATTTAGTTTTTAGTTTTAGGTGGACGCAATATCTTTTTTTTTCTTTTTTTAAATATTTATGTGGTGCTAACGATGGAACACAGTGCCTCAGACTTGCTAGTCGAGCACTCTACCATTGAGCCACAACCCTAGCCCTAATTACAGTTTTGTAAATATTAAAAAAATTTTCATTATGGAGGCAATGGAAGAGAAAAGTTTTATAACTATTTCTAATTTGAGTAAATAATATGCATTTCTAGACATCTTTTTGACCCTTTTATTTTTATAGTGAAAAGTTAACTTTTATTTGTATAATCCCCTTTGTTAGGCTATTAAAATTTACTTATTTTTTAACAACTAAGTGGTGTTCCCTCTGTTTGGATTCTTTGGATTATACCAATTTAGATAGTGTTTTATTTATTTGAAGTTTATATATTTTGGCTTCACTATGTATGTCCAATTAGCTTCCTATATTTTTAAAGGTATACTGTTGAAGAAAAACATTATAATTATTTTAAAGTGTATGATTGAAAAATATTGCAAATGGTAAGTAGAAATTTTAGAGTTCTTATTAAAAGAAACACCTGCATAAACATGTATTAATTGGTTTTTAAATTAATATGAATAACAGAAAGTAGAACTAATTGTAACATTTTTTACAGTAGTGTGCCATGCAAGATGTTATTCTGTAAGCATAAAATTAAATTTTTATTTTCATTCTATGTAGTTTTAATTATGAAATTATATATATATATATAATTTCTTTTTATGAGACCATAAGGGAAACCAATTTTTTTTTTCTTGTCTGTTTTCTCTGCAGAAAACTTCATCAGCAGTTTGAAATGTATAAGGAGCAAGTTAAGAAGATGGGAGAAGAATCACAGCAACAGCAAGAACAGAAGGGTGATGCCCCAACTTGTGGTATCTGCCACAAAACGAAATTTGCTGATGGATGTGGCCATAACTGTTCATATTGCCAAACAAAGTTCTGTGCTCGTTGTGGAGGTCGAGTGTCATTACGCTCAAACAAGGTACAGAAATGAAAACATGACAGTTCTCTTATAGCTAAGCTTATTGTGAATCAAAAAAATGAAAACAGAAATTACTACTGTGATTAACCAAAGAACAAGATACTTATGGTGTCCTCATTTAAGATAAAGTTTCTTTAATTTTTCACTGAATTTTAAATATATTTGTCTCATTGTTTTGTGTCAGCTAGCTTTTGATTTTGTTAGAATTTTATGATCTCAGACTTTCAAAGACAATGAAAACAATTTAAGAGATGATTTGGCCTCACTCCTTTATTTTTCTGGTACAGAAAACTAGGACCCCGAGAAACTAAATTGTATTCGTAAAGCATGCAATTGATCAATGACAGAATTTTAATATAGTTTCTCCGTTGCTACACATAGTTGTTTTTTTTTACAAAGATAAAGAGCTATCAAATTTTATTGAATCATAATATTCTGTAACTAAACATTTTGAGGAGTTTATTATTAATACACATAACCCATTCCTCGGATATGAAACACATTGCCTTATTTTGAATAGGGGAAAGCACAAAAATGCCAACTTTTTTTGACAGTAGGTTTTATACTAACACAATGGTCCATCCCAAAGAGAGACAAGTATATTTATAATACTTGGGACTGTTTTAGTTCAGGTAGTTAACTCTCTGCAGATGACAGTTTTACAAACCTTGTAGATCAGTTCTTCCTTGGTCTGTTTCCTTTCCTTTTGAAAGGAGCCTTTGAGATTCTTTTCATAATTTTATAGCTTTTGAAGCTAAATGCTCTTTTGTTGCTTTTTTAACATTAATAGAAAAATATTAGACTATGATTATGGAAGCTAGAATTTAAAGAAGAAATATTAAAGTTTTTTTATACTTATACAAGATGTTTGTAGTTTACCTCTCTAAGTTAGGGAATATGTTAATGCTATCCAAAGAATATTTTGTTGAAATTAGAAAAAACAATATTTAAAAATGTTCATTACAGTCCATTTTTTAGATTTGCCTTTATATCCTCACTAGTATCTTATCACCTAACTATTTACTTAGGTAGTTTTTAAATGGGAAACTGATATCTTCATATATATTACTTGGACATAATTGTGGGAAATTATTCTCTGCTGTAATTTCATTTCTTCATTTTCTCATTGTGCCCTTTTATCAATGTGCTGTTTCATCCAGAACTAATCATGTACTTCTCCTAACCTTTTCCCTTTGGCTTACTTGATTAAGTTTTTTTTCCCCCTCTTCTAAGTAGTGCATTGGCTAGAAACTCCATTATTATTTTCATAGAAATGGTGAAAGTAGACAACATTTTTTTTTTTTTTTTGGCAGGGGGAGGGTTACCAGGGATTGAATCCAGGAATGCTTAACCAATGAGCCCCAGGCCTCTTTTGTATTTCATTTAGAGAAAAGGTCTTGCTGAGTTGCTTAGGGCCTTGCTAAATTGCTAAGGCTGGCTTTGAACTCATGATCCTCCTGTCTCAGCCTCCAGAGTCCCTGGGACTATAGGTGGGTTTCACTGATGAGGCTCCTGGTGTTGTTCTCAATTATAGGGGGAAAGTATTCAGTCTCACTGTCAGGTCTAATGTTAGCTGTATTTTCATAGATGGCAACTAGACCAATTTGCTGAGAGTTTTGGTTTTTAAATAATCAATAGACGTTGGGTTTTTTCAAAGCTTTTTCTCCATCTATTGAGATTAAGCTTATATTTTTTCCTTTCTTTTTGAATATGATGAAGCTTACATTGACTGATTTTTGAATGTTAACCCAACTCTATTTCTGTGAGAAACCCTATTTGGTCATGATAGACTATCCATTTTCTATATTAATGAGTTTGATTCGAAAAAAATTTGTTTTGAATTTTTGCTTCTATGTTCATTAGGCATATTATCTGTATTTTTCTTTTCTTGCAGGATTTTTCTTTGGTTTTGAAATTAGTTTAATGCCGGCCTATTGGAATGAGTTGGAAGTATTTTCTTCCATGTTTTAGGAGAGTTTGTGTAAAAATTGTATTATTTTATTTTTCATTGGTTGGTAGTATTTCACCAGTAAAGCCATCTGGACATGCAGTTTTATTTGTTAAAAAGGGGTATAGTTTTAATTCCTAAATATAGTGTTACTCATGTTATATATTTTTTTCTTGAATGAGTTTGCATAACAATGTCTCTCAATGAATTTGTCCATTTCCTCATAAGTTGTCAAATTTATTGGTATAAAATTGTTTGTAGTATTCCATTATTTTTCTTTTAATGTCATAGAATCTGTAGTAATATCACATCTATATTTCTTAATATTGGTAATTTGTATATTTTCTCTTTTTCCCCCCCCTATTCAGTCTAGCTAGTTTTTTTTGTTAATTTTGTTGACTTTCTCAAAAAATCACCTTTTGGTTCCATTGATTTTTCTCTATTGTTGATTTTTCTTTTGATAATTATTATTTTCTTTTACTTCTGCTTACTTTGATTTTAATTTTCTAGTTTCTTAAGGTGGAAGGGGAGATATTATTTTGAGATATTGCTTTGAGATATTGTTTTGATATATTGTTTCTTTTTTAACATATAGGTCATATGCTGGAAATTTTCCCTAGGTGCTACTGCTTTATTGACATCCACCAAATTCCCATGAATATGTTGTCTTATTATTTCACTCCGTTAAAAAAAAAAAAAAATATATATATATATATTCTTCTTTGATCCCTTGAGTTTATAGAAGTATGCTATTTAATTTTCAAATGTTGGGAGGTTTATATAGATTATTTTGTAGCACCAGAACATACTTTGCATACCTTTTATTTAATTGATCCCTTTATCATTGTTAAGTGGTCTTCTCTTTTCCTGGTAATATTCTTTGCCTTTGAAATCCATTTTGCCCAATCTTAATAAAAAAATCCACTTTTTTTTTTGTGGTGTTGGGGATTGAACTCAGAGCCTTATGAATGTAAGCAAGCACTCTACCAACTGAGCTATATCCTCATCCCCAGCTTCTTCAACTTTATATTGGGTGGTATTAACATGCATATATATTTCTACTCTTTAACTTAAATCTTATTTGTATCTTTATATATAAAGTACTTTTTTATCTTTTAAAATATATTTTTAGTTGTTATTGGACACACTACCTTAATTTAATTTATTTTTATATGGTGCTGAGGATGGAACCCAGCGTCTTGCATGTGTTAGGTGAACGTTCTACTGCTGAGCCACAATCCTAGTCCCTTAAAGTACTTTTTTTATGGGCATAATATAGTTAGGTCTTACTATATTATTCAACCCGACAATCTGGCTTTTAGGTGGATGTTTTGACAATTTACATTGTATGTGATCATTGATGAGATTTGGTTTGATTACATTATCTTGGTTTTTGTTTTCTCTTTGTCTCATCTGGTCTTTATTTTCGTTTTATTTTTTCATTGTTCTTTTTGATTACTCAAGTATTTTTTATGACTCTATTTTTTCTTTATTGACTTCATAGCTATAACTCTGTCGTTTATTAATTGCTACAGGATTTGTAGTATAGAGATTTAAATTATCATGGTAAACCTTCAACTGATATTATACTATTTCAGGTGTGGTATTAACAAGCTTACAATAGTGTACTTCCATTTTTTTCTCTTTAGAGTCTGTGTTATTGGTGTCATATTGTACTTTTACCGGTTTTATAAACCCCACAGTGTATTGTTATTTATTTTGCTTAAAAAGCTTATCTTTGAGGGGTTTTAAATAATAAGAATTTAAACTGTAGGGTTAGGGTTGTGGCTCAGTAGTAGAGTGCTTGCTTAGCACATGTGAGGCACTGGGTTCGATCCTCAGCACCACATAGAAATAAAGGTATTGTGTCCAACTACAACTAAAAAATATTTTAAAAAGGTATAAACTGTACACTTATTCATGTAATTACCATATGTAGTGCTTTTCTAAATTTTTATGTAGCCTCATATTTTATCTGCTCAAAGGAAATTCATTCAGTTTTCCTTTTAATGAAAGTGTTCTGGTTAATATTTTAAACATTTTTATGCAGAAAATTTTGTCTTTATTTTTCCAAAGGTTTTTTTTTTATGTTGGATATAGAATTCTAGGTTGACAGTTTTTTCTTTTGGTATTTTAAAGGTATTACTTCACTGCCTTTCCCTTTCACTGATTCCAATAACAATGATGATATATAAATATATATGTGTATATATATATATATTTTTTTTTGAATAATGTTTGTTTCTATTGCTGCTTTTAAAATTTTATTTTATCACAAGTTATATGCAATTTATTATGATGTTTCTAAGTGTTTTTTTCTTCACATTTTTTGGTATCTTTTTTTTGAGCTTTTTGTGAGTTTATGACTTTTCATTGAGTTTGGGGATATATTGGCATTATTTCTTCAAGTACTTTTACTGATTCCTTCTCTTTCTCTTTTCCTTCAGGGATTCCTTTACCAATATGTTAGGCTGCATGAAGTTGTCATACAGATCTCTTATATTATTTTCATTAAATCAAAATTTGTTCTTCCTGGGTTTCATTTTGTACACTTTTTGTTACCATGCCTTCAAGTTTACTAATCTTTATTGTTCAACATCAAATCTGCTGTTTATACCATTCAGTGTATTTTTTCATCTCAGATATACTTTTTGTGTCTAGAATTTCAATTTGAGACTTTCTCTCTCTTTGGTAACTTCCATGTTCTTAATTTTTTGAATGTATGAAATACAGTCATGTTTTGATGTCCTGCTTTGCTAATTCTAACATCTTTGTCTATTCTGGCTTGGATTTGATTGATTATTCTCATTATGGTATGTGTTCTCCTGACTTTGAATGCCTAGTATCTTAGGTGATGTCAGGCACTGTTAAGTTTTACCTGTTGGATGTTGGCTATTTTTGTATTCCTATTATTCTTTAAGCTTTTTTTTTTTTGTGATACAGTTCAGTTATATGGAAACAGTTTGATACTTTTGCATTTTGCATTTATAGTGTTTTAGGTGGCTCTGGAGTAGTGCCTAGTTTACCACTAATTATTCTCTTGGAATGAAGA